ATTTTTAAAGAGCTGAGTAACAATCTTATGTTCTTAATATTATAATATATTATTAAATTCAGCATTAAACAAAATATCAAAATAGATGGTAAATATGGAACAGGCACTCAAATATGGACTACAAATAGAAACTTATAAAATCTTGTACGAAAATAACAATTATAAATATTTATTTTATAAGAGATCAAATTACTTTGGTAGATAGAAGAAATCACATAATTTACTTACAAAAATCACATATCCAGGTGTCAAACTGTGGCCCAGCACAGTCATTATGTGCCAGAGCTTACACATTAAACATCTGACCCATAGTTCTCCTGATTATAAAATTTATTTAATTACAACAGGTACAAGTAATAAACAATTTAATACATACTGTTACTTTGACATTGTACACTTTTGAAATACTTGTTTGAGCAATCACATTGGCGGTTAAACAACCAGGTTATTTAAATGTTTTTTTTTTCTATTACATGTAATACATGCCCAGACTCAAATAATTATTTTCCTTTTAAATCGTTTTGACCGCGAATAATTTTATTAAAGATTGGCTTCCATTTTTAATTATTTCGTTCTACTTATTATTAAATTTTTGCCCATTTTATGCATACATTTTACGCAAGAGCACGCGAGCTGCAAAGCTATTCATCCAAAATACGTGTCTCGCCTCTAAAGATGATTTTTCGGCCAAAATTGAGGTCCTCTTCCAAACGCTTCGAAGCTTAGTCAGCGAACAAACGGCGTTTATTACGGTTATTAACTTTGAGGTCCTGGGTCAGTTGGATCTTGTACGGATGCAGGTAGACTTGGGAATTGTAGTTCAATTCACTGACGTAGTTCAATAAATCTTCTTCAATGAAGTCAACTAATTCACTAGTCTAGTTCAGTAGTTCATTTAGTTCAGCGCTCACAATTTAGAGCACGTGAAACGTCCAATGATACAGTAGAACTCATGTATTTTCAATACCATCTATTTTCAACTGATTTTACTCATGTATTTTCAAAATTTTCGTCCCCACTTCTCATGCAACACTTCTCTTATGTTGCTCAGCCAATAAAAAAACAGACGCG